TTCTAGTTTTCAGTGTACTAGTTTTGCATTTTTTCCTTCAATTTATTCCTAAGGTTTTTTTCTTTTGCTTTCTTTTTTTTTTTTGATGCTATTGTAAGTAGAATTGTTTTCTTTTTTTAACTCAAAATACTTCTAATTTCTTAGTTGCATTTACAATGTTATGTTACTGCTGTACAGCAAAGTGATTCAGTTTTACAAATATATATATATATATTTTTTTTCCTATTCTTTTCCATTATGGTTTGTCACAGGATATTGAATATAGCTCCCTGTGCTATACAGTAGGACTTTGTTGTTTATCCATTCTATATATACCAGTTTGCATCTGCTAATCCCAAACTCCCAATCCAACCCTCTCCCACCCCCTCCCCCTTGGCAACCACCAGTCTGTTCTCTATGCCCCTAATAGAATTGTTTTCTTAATTTCATTTTCAGTTCATACATTGCTAGTTTATAAAAATACAATAGGTTTTTGTATATTGACCTTGAATCCTGCAATCTCACTGAACTTTTTAAATTAACTTTGTTTTTTAGTGGTTTCCTTAGGACTTGCTATATAGAAGTTCATTTCATCTGCAAATAGAGATAGTTTTACTTCTTCCTTTCCAATCTGGATGCCCTTTACTTCTTTTTCTTGCCTAATTGTCCTGGCTAGAACGTTCAATACAATGTTGACTAGAAGTGGTGTGATCAGACACCCTTGTCTTGCTTCTGATTAGGGGGAAAGCATTCATTCTTTTACCATTAAACATGATGTTAGCTGGGGTATTTCATTGATGTCCTTTATCAGCTTGAGGAACTTCTAGTCCTGTCTTTTGAGTGCTTTTTTCAGGAAAGGATGTTGGATTTTGCCAGTTTTATCTTTTGAGTCTTGAGGTAATCATACAGTTTTTCCTTTATTCTGTTGATATGGTTTATTACGTTGATTGATTTTCAGATGTTAAACCTTGAATTCCTAGGATAAATTTCACTTGGTAATGGCGTATTATCTTTTACTATGGATTTGATTTGCTAGAATTTTGTTGAAGAATTTTTAAGTCTATTTTCATGAGATATTGTTCTGTAGTTTTTGTCTTTTGATATCTTTGATTTTTGTATTGGGGTAATATTAGCCTCATAGAATGAATTGGGAAAATCTTCTGTTCCATCTTTTGAAAGAGTTTTTGAAGGATTGGTATTAATTTTTTTAAGTATTTGGTAGAATTTATCAGTGAAGTCATCTGGCTTTGGCTATTTTTTGTGAGAAGTTTTAAATCACTAATTCAATCTCTTGTTATAGATCTATTCTGATTTTTAGTTCTTATTAAATCAGTTTTGGTAGTCTGTGTCTTTCTAGAAATTTGTCCATTTCCAGAACTCTGTCTTTTCATGTGAATTTGAATTATTCTCTGGTGTCACTTGCTTTCAGCCTAAATAGCTCCCTTTAGTATTTCTTTTTTTACAGTTTTATTGGAGCATAGTTGATTTACAGTGTTGTGTTGGTTTCAGGTGTATAGCATAGTGATTCAGTTATACATATACATATATTCATTCTTTCTCAGTTTCTTTTCCCATGTAGTTTATCATAGAATATTGAGTAAGGTTCCCTGTGCTATATAGTAGGTCCTTGTTGGTTATCTATTTTATATATAGTAGTGTGTGTATGTTAATCCCAAACTCCTAATTTAGTATTCCTTATATGGCCGGTCTGCTAGCAATGAATTCTCCCAGTTTTTGTTTATCTGGGAATATTTTTATTTCACTTTCATTGTTGAGAGATAGTTTTGTTGGATATGATTCTTGGTTGACACCACTACCTCTGGCCTCCATTATTTCTGATTAAAGTCAGCTGTTAATCTTATTGGGCTTCCAGTGAGTCATTTTTCTTTTGCTTCTTTTGACATTTTACCTTTGTCTTTCTATATTTGACTATATTGTGTCTGGACGTGGATTTCTTTGCATTTATCTTACTTGGTTAAATTTCTTGGATGTGTATGTTAATGTTTTTAATCAAATTTTGGAAGTTTTCAACCATTATTTCTTTGAATATTTTCTACTCCTTTCTCTGTGTCCTCTCGTTCTGACACTTTTACTGTGCATATTTCAGTGAACTTACGGTCTTCCATGTTTCTCAGAGGCTCTGTTCATTTTTCTTTATTTTTTTCCCCCTCTTCTCTTCAGATTGCATAATTTCTATTGATCTATATTCAAGTTCATGGAGTCTTCTGTCAGCTCAAATCTACTACTGAGCCCTCTAGTGAATTTTTCATTTGTTTTTGTACTTTTAAACTACATAATTTCTTTTTCTTTTCTTTTTGTTTGTGTTTTTTTAGTTTCTATCTCTTTCCTGATGCCATTTGGTGAGGCATTGCTCTTTAGACATGGTTTCCTTTTGTTCTTTGAACATATTTATAATAGCTATTTTGAAATTTTTGTCTGCTAATTCTAACATTTGGGACTCCTCAAAGGCAGCTTCTGTTGCCTGCTTACTTTCCTGTGTATAGATTTCACTTTCCTGTTTCTTTTCACGTCTCAGAAATTTTTGTTGAAACTGGACATTTTAGATGATACATTGAAGAAACTCTGGATAGTGATTCCCCTAGACCTTGTTGTGCTGTTGTTTGCTTGTTTACCTGTTTATTTCTTTAGTGACTTGGATGCACTGTTTCAATTAATTTTATTTGTCCTGCAGCGTGCAGCTGTTGATATTGCCCCTCAGAGATCACAGCCTTGGGCATATGCATAGTCACCCGGGCCACACAGCTTCCCACCTCCACCCCCAGAACAGTGGGATTAGCCAGGTTCTCTTTGTCTCTTTCTTTGATCTTCCAGCTAAACTTCTGGCTGTTCTGCCTCTATTGGTATCACACCCAATTAGCTTTCACTAGCTGCTAGCTGATGCTGCATTGATTTTGATACAGTTGCCCTGGGGTACAACTTGTCTACAGCCTGACCCAATTAGATTCTGGACCCTTCACAGAGGCAGGTTGTTACCAATATTTGAGGCTTTCTCAGACTCCAGGAGGGCTCTTAGCTGTCTTTTCCCTGGTCACACTTCTAGTTGGTTTACCATTTTACTTGTTGCTTACTAGTATTGTGGAGCTACTGTCCTCCTCTTAGTTGCTCACTACCAAGGTTTCTATTGTTTTTGACAATGCCCTTAGGCATGAACTTCCTCATGCTCTGTTCCAAATAAAGTTAGTCCTCTTAGGGTGAGCTATGGAGCTCTCAGTCCTGCCTCTCCCTCTAGGAAGACTACTGCACCACTGCGCTGGAGCTAGGAGCAGGGTGGTCCACTTCCAGAGTGACACTCCTGGTCTACGAATAGGTCACTAGATAGAGATAGTAGCTTCTAGTCTTCTTGAATTTTCCCTTTCAGCATGGAACCTCTGCCCTACAAGCAAGCCAGAGAATGGGGCTACTGGAGTACTGTATTCCTGGTTTGCCATACCTGGGGTAGAGCCTCCAGTCTGGGAGTGAGGACTGGGTGGGCAAAGGGAGTTCCCTGACTGGAACAGATTTTCTGCAATACAGTGTTGGGAGGTATGGGAGATGCCAGTGGCCTGCCTTTCCCAGGGTGAAACTACAGCCCTAGACTGGGAGCTGAGGAGACAAAGACCTCTGTCTTTTAAGCAGTAAAGCCTCCATCACACTGAGATGGGAAAGGAATGGGAGAGGGTTGTGGCTCAAATGTATAGACTTTCACTATTCTTACCAAGATTTAGTAAATTTTCTCCATTTGTTGTATTGACCTTAGGACAATTTCCAGATACTTGATTTTTTTTTAATTGAAGTATAGTTGATTTACAATATTGTGTTAGTTTCAGGTTTACAGGAAAATGATTCAGTTATATATATTCTTTTTCAGATTCTTTTCTATTATAGGTTATTACAAAATATTGAATATAGTTCCCCATGCTATACAGTCAGTACTTGTCCAGATAATTTAAATGGTTTGTTTAGAAAATAATTTTCACCAGTTAAATAGTTGTTTTACTGAGGAGAGAGTTCACCAAGTTTCTTACAGGTCCATTCTAGAAGTTTCCATTTGCTGCCTGCTTTTGTAAACAAAGTTTTATTGGAATGTAGCCATATCCATTCATTTATATGTTGTCTGTAGCCACTTTCATGCTCTAATGGCAGAGTTGAATAGTTGAAATAGTGAACATGTAGCCTGCAAAGACTAAAACAGTTACTCTCTGGCCCTTACAGAAAAAGCTTGCTGAGGAATGACTGCATTATCTTTCTATTCTCCCTATGGAATACAATCCTACAAAATTATTGTCATATGAACAGGGCATGAAAGAGTATACAGTTAGAACTGCAGGAAATGTTGTGTCCATCAATCACTTTGAAAAAAGTCATTGTTCTCTGTTTTTGGTGGTTTGTGGTATTTGTCAGTTTTTAAATTTTAAATTTTTTGTTTTATATTTTCTAATTCTAAATCAATATTCCATTTTATATCGAACTTAGTATTTTTAATTTTGCAATCTTATTCAAATGGGCCCTAAATTGTATAAGCTTCCTCTCTGGACTAGTGATAGATTCAAGTTGTAGACCTGAGTTTCCTCTACTCCAGTGTTCTACTTACTATATTCATGAATTTTTACCATGTCAACATATCACCTATCCTTCGTTTCCATATTTCTTTTAAATTGCTTATTTTTACTTAAACAGTAGACCTTACATGTCTCTAGAGTCACTGGCTTGATGTGCCGCTTACATCTTTATGAATGGCGCTGTGTGGGCACACCAGGCCGGGGGTTTCATCTTGCAGACACGGTGTGGGGTGGGCTTTGGCTGTGGGGACAGAGTAGGCTGAACAAGGCACTGAGGTTGGTGGGAGACCAGGGTGGTGGTCGGGGGAAGCTGGGTGAGCCAGCACCTTACCATGCCTCCCAGCGAGGCTCTGAGCTTCTAGGGGTGAGTAGGGCCTGTTCTCCCTGTGCCTTGAGGGCCAGACAGTCATCACGGGCACTGCAGGCTGAAGGGTGGGGGGCATGTGACCTTCTGTCTTTCAGCACTGCTTTAAAGGACACTGCATCTGGCTGACACCTGACATCCTCAAGCGAGATGGCAACTGGGGCGCCTGGAGTCCCTTCGGCTCCTGCTCGCGTACCTGCGGCACAGGTGTGAAGTTCAGGACCCGTCAGTGCGACAACCCACAGTGAGTTGGCCCTGATGTTCCGCAGCCTTCCTTGGTGGCAGCTGCGGTCCCCAAGGGCCCTTGCTTGCCAACCCTATCCTGCAAGGCCCCTGCGGATGTCAGTTCTGGAGAGGGTGTGAGGGCAGGCAGCTCTGGCCCCTTCTCTTTCTGGGAGGGACTGAGACTTAGAGAGTGGAGGGCTCATGCCACATAGCCTGCTGGGGCCAGAGCCAGCTCTGGAGACTTGGAAAAACCTGGTCTTCTGACCTGATGGCCTAGGACCATTCCTTCCACTTGGCCTGCATTCTACTCTAGACACCAACCACCTCTGCTCTTCTTGGTTGAGGGCATCAAGAATAGGAGGTGGGGGCTTCCCTGATGGCTCAGTGGTTGAGAGTCTGCCTGCCGATGCAGGGAACACGGGTTCGTGCCCCAGTCCGGGAGAATCCCACATGCCGCAGAGCGGCTAGGCCTGTGAGCCATGGCCGCTGAGCCTGCGCGTCCGGAGCCTGTGCTCCGCAACGGGAGAGGCCACAACAGTGACAGGCTCGCGTACCGCCA